TCCTGTATGTATAATATTGTATTGAGATTGTATTGTACTTTGATAACAATAAAATTATTTTTACAATAAAAACATAGTTTTTCCCACAATAATGGACGGCATCTTGGAATTTATCATGATGACGTCATCATTCCGATCAAATTTAGAGTGATGAGTAACTATATAGCCAGGTTTTTGATACATTTCATATCCACAGTTAATGTAAAAGTGACCAAAAACATAAAGTTATTTCCCCTACCCCCATTTTAAATAGTTTAAAATAGGGTATTTTAGGCCAAAATTTCAAAGTGCTGTAAAAAAAATTGCCCAAGCCCTAGGCATGGGGATTTTTTTTCTGAGACACTATAGGGTATGTTGATTCAGAAAAACCGAAAATTAATTTTCCTTTACTTTTTTCCCGCTAAAATTCATTTCAGCAGTTATACAACCAGGCTATATCTTATAAACTTGTCTACATTACCAGGAGTAGTAGTACTGTAATTCCTATTGGTATATGATATTTTTTAAAGCTTTAAAAAAAAATCATTAATTTTTTTCCAGATGATGATTTCAGCAATCATGATGATCATGTAGCTGAAGATGATGTCCAGCCACATGTTGAAGACCTATTGGCTGAGGGCAATTTCAAAAAAGGTAATTAAGTATGTAGAATGCTAATTACTGTACTTATGTAGGATTGTTCTTTTCAATTATTAAATTAAATTATATAAGCTTATACATATTGCAATGATTTGATTATTATAATATACAATCATAATAATAATAATTATAATAATAATTATTATATATTATATAATAATATATTATACATATAAATATATATTATAATAATATATTATCATTATTATATTATTATTATAATAATAATTATTATAATAAATTAAATACATTATAAGTTATTTAGTGATGCTTTTATTTATTTGTTTTATATTATTTTTCAGACTCCAACTCATGATAAGGTTATAGCTGATTATATCCAGGAGCAACCACACAATTGATATGCAATGTCATGAATTCCTACTTGACGTATTTTCGAGCGGTATAGAAATGACTAGGAATCCTTCTTTGACATATAAAATATAAACACAGCTGACAATGTTGTAAAACAACTCTCAAATAAACTTTTATTGTGTATAAACTCCAACAAGAATCCGGTATCAATATAGAAAGAAAGATAAAACTGTCAGCTTATATACCCTAGCTGTACAACTCCAGAGCATTCTATATTGCCTAAGTTCCTCATTGGTCACCTTACATCATCATTAACCAATTAGACTTATTTGCCTCTAAAGTACCCAAGATTACAGAAGCTTCCATATATTACTCTTGGATTCTACATGGTGTCATGTGTTCCTAAAATTACCAATGTGGTTTACACAGTTTCTTTGATCAATAAAATGTTATTCTAGAATGTTCTATGTATTAAATATGTTAAAATAAGGAAAGGGAATGGTAATTTATTACATGCAACAAGTACCTTTATATACAATACTTCTATTTATTATTTTCCACAGTATGTGAAACAGTAATCCGGGCCTGTTACTACAATAAATACCTACCTTTTGCAGAAACGAAATGTTTTACTGTACTTCAGTAATGTCATGATATCAGTCATTTTGGATTTTTTTTTAAATAATAAATTCACTTATTACAAATTATTACTTTTGTATATGTCTGTATATTAGTACAGTATGATACAACTCAACATTATGACCAGCTGAATAAAACCAAAAAATCTTACAAAACAACATTATTTTGTTTAATAAAATTTATCCATAAACAGAGCTCCAAGAATGCAGGAAAGGCCATTTCTTGGCATCTAGAAAAAAAAAATTTCCCGACCATGCCCTCCCCCCCAATCTGAACTTTGATGATAAATGGTGCGCCTGATACTTTTTAGATTCAGCCTCCTACTTTCAAAACTTTTGAAATCCCTGATTTCTGCTAAAAAATTTTTAATTGAACACTAAGTTCCTTGCGATGCACAGACCAACTTGAAAATAACGCATGCACAAATGTTCTCTAAGGATGATTATGAATAATTCATGAGATTTTACCAAACTATATGTTAAAAAAATTTGCTCACAGCTTGGGGTCAAACAATACATAGGTCAAAACCCCAAAAAGCAGATCACCTCTTGTTATTGTCAGCTTCATCATTTTCATCTTCTTTTTTATTCTTCTTTCTTTCTCCCCATTTCTGTTAGCACGATATCTTAAAATTGCCAAGAGCTACTAACATGAACGCTTCAACGAACATTTTGGCTTGGCCTGGAATAGATACAATAAGGTTTTCAAAGTGCTCAGTTATGCGTGACCATCAGCTACACGCAATTTTGCGTGTTTTACATTAGCGATCATATCATCCTAACCAATTATCATTTCTCAATCATATTCAGTGGGCATAAACTTCAGGTTAAGGTTGAATGTCACGTACCAAAATATTTTGGGTACGCGTCATAACGCGTACACACGCGTGTAAAAATTTCAAAATGCTCAAAATCACTTTTTGAATAAATTAGAGTACGTTTCAGGTCATTTTGAGCATTTCAAAATTTTGTTACATTTTCCACTAGACACGCGCATTTTTACACGCACAGCACGTATGGAAGCTAGAAATTACGTTTTTTTTACTTATTTTGGGTTCCTGACATATGTTTTCACAAATTTCCATTTTTCCAGTCATCTTATGGCCAATAGCAATGCCGTACGTGCACACCAAACATAGGGATCAGTGAAAATATCCTAAAATCAGGCCTATTTTTATTCAGTTATAGCTCCTTAGGATAAATGGTGACCCTAATTTTTATTACATATTATTCTGAAAGCACGAGTTGTAAATATGATTTTATAGATCATATTGGCTGATCGGACATTGTGACGTCATCATATTGCCATCTAAATTCAAAGAAACTGAATCCTATCTATGACGTCGTTTTTTGAAAATACGCATTTGAGCATATCTCACTTATCCTTGACCTAATCTTTCTTTCCTCAAAACATTGATGACCTCATATCATCTTTCCATTCAGTGAGCATAAACTTCAGGACAAGTTTGAATGTCATGTACCTTAATTTTCCGTTCGCGGGTCTTAACGTGTGCGTACATGTGCGTCAAAATTTATGCTGAAAATTATACCTATTTTTAATCAGTTATAGCTCCTTAGGATGAAAGTTGACCCCCAATTTTTATTACATATTCTGAAAGCAAATGAGCTGTAGATATGATTTTATAGATTATTATGGATGATCGGACATTGTGACTCATCATATTGCCATCTGAATTTTTTTTTAATGAATTTTAATTTATAAAGTCATTATTATTATTTTCATTGAACGTATCTTGCTTATTCTTGATTGATCCTCTCCCACATGTGAGTATGTTATATCTGACACAATTCTCTTTTGGAAGTTTGCCTTAATTTTTCATTTTGATGACGTCATCATGGTCAAAATGAATAATTTTTTGGACCCCTCTCATCTCTCTTTCTTCAAATATCTATGTGAAAACTCCACAACAGAGGGCGGCAGAGTGTATTTCGACGCTATCAGTCTAATATATAGTTCATATGAAGGGAAAATTTGTGTGGCATTACCAAACAACAGGCGTTTTTAAATGACACTTTATCAAGGTTAAATTTTGTGTGCCATTACCATCCACATCGTGACGTGCACGTATGTGTGTGTTAAAATTTGAAAATCCTCAATATCACTTTTCAGATAATTTAAAGTACATTTCAGGTAATTTTCAGCATTCCAAAACTTCCCATAATTTACGCGTCTTACGTCCATTTCCACGTGCACAGCACATACTGAAGCTGAAAATTACGTTTCATTACATATTCTGGGTTCCTGATACTGTATGCATACCAGGAGTCAACTTTTTGTGCCATTACCGTGCTCACGGGCATCAAGACGTGCACGTACGCATGTGTAAATCTTTTAAAATGCTGAAACATACTCTTTTTTTAAACTAATTAGAGCATATTTTAGCATATATATACCTTTTCAATCAGTACTGTGCGCTTCCAAATTACGGCGGATCACCAAACTCGTCCTCATTGACGATTTCAAACCTAGTTAGTCTTTCTGTTACTAACACAGTACAGTCTTGTCATTTTTGATAAGCCACTGGTTAAAGGAGCATGCCCACCTTGTGTGCTGATAGATAGTGATTGTAATACAAAAGGTCAAAATTCAGGTGTCAAATTTTCAATAATATCCAATTTAGCTTAAATTTACCAGGAATCATCTGACTGGGTTCCTGTTCTATTAAACAAAGTTTCTAGTTGACTTTTTCTTGATGCGTCATTATAGTCTGGGGGCTTACAGGGGTTTATTTAAGAATTTGAGTAGCAGGAGAAATTTGAAAGTAACAGGAGAGTAAATTGAAATAGGCCGGGGGTATAGGGGGCCGCCTAGGCCTCCATCGCGGTCCAGGGGCAGAGCCCTGGTCGGGGGTCAAGGGGCGGAAGCGCCATTGCGCTCCAGGGTTTTAGAGTTTTTTAAGCCCATTTGATGGCATTTCTCTACATCATTTTTTTTTTTAACAGTTTTTCAGAATCAATTACTGAGCTCTAAAAAAGTTGATATTTTTACATATTCTTCATACATAGGCCTACCTAGCCTAAATAGGCCTAGATACTGTAAACCAGAACTTTCGCGAATTGATAATTTCGGCCGTTTTCGCCACATTAAACTTTCGCGAATCTCAAAAAGTTATACACATTTAATAAAATCCACCAAAAAAATTGAAAATACAATTTTTATAATGATGAAGTTGTTTACTTTTCAAAAACATGTTGAAATTTGTGGAGATTCACCATTTAGGCCTATGCCCTAGATCTGCGTTGAAGAAAACATCTAAAGGAGAGCAAAAAATAGTTCTAAAATTTACGCAGATATCGAAAAGGAATGGATACCACATTGGAAATAAAATGTCTCATGTGATGTGTGAATTGAGACGATTTTGGCTTGCTCTGCCGTTTTAATCATTGTGCTATCTATGACTCTGAAATTGTGAGTGTAAACAGCATTCAATATAGTTGGTTCGGCTTGCTACCTTCGCCACCGAATGTAAACGAATTTGAGCCAGTGTTGGTTTTTTTTTATATTATTTATCATTTCCGAAATAGTGTTGATTTTTTTTAATTATTTATCATTTCCGAAATATCTATGTCATCACAAAGAGGGCTAGTAAAATAAAAATAAAATGAAAATAAAAGGTTCATAGTCATACAAAAATTAATTTTAAAACGACGATCTGTTTTTTTCTTCTCCGCGGTAAGAAAACCCGGAAGCCCAATGTACAGTAAGAGTTTGGGCGATGTATTATCGTCATCACCTGAGCATGTGGTGGAGGAGAAATTTCTATTAACTTATTGGCTAACATGTGATTTGGAGGCGTGGCTTCTTTGATGGACTCACCAAGACGCGACTGCCGAACTTTGAACTTTAACTTTGTTTACGCCGCGAGTTCATGAAATGGAGTCTGAAAATTGGTAGACATTTTAACGAACTTTCAACAGAAAGGAACATCGAAATGAATGCATACTATTGCAAATTAACTTCGTGTAGGTAAATAAGGTTCTTTACAGGCCTGTTTCACTATTTATATTGGTGGTATTTGTATTAATTTTTGTACAGCATTGATTGAAGTAGCCGGCGAAAACATCGTAGTAGCCGATCGAATGCGCCGGCCGCCGGCTCTTAAATAAACCCCTGGCTTATGTTATCCTGTGGAATTTTATGATCGTTTTGCTTTTTTTTTTAAATTATATACTTTGAAGTATGCTGCAAATAAATGAGTCACCAATTTTTTTATGCTCATCTTCATATGCAAATGCAAAATAGTCAGTCTGAAAATGTAGGGTACCATTATCTTGGCAACTACTTGTCGTAGAGAGTAATTTTTTTTTCTAAAACTGAACAGATACATATTTATACTTGCCCTAATAGAACAATTTCTTCAAAAATGACCGGAAGTGCTGCTTTTTGACCTTATTAGCATAATATATGCAAATCAGGGGTGGCAATATACGGAGCTATATCTTAACAACCACTGGTCGTACAGAGTTGCTTTTGCAGCAAAATGTTTAGATAAGACTCTTTTGTATGCATTCCAGTCTGATATTTTCTTGGTTTTACGGGCTTTACGAAATAAAATATTTTTCTTTTGTGTTAGCTTCTTTAATTCTTCCGTAATCTATGGGCAAGAATTCCTGTGATTTTTTCGAGAAATCCTAGGAATACTTTCGCGCACAGCTGCATCAAGAATGTCCATAAAGTTTTCCCATGATGCGTTGATATCTGTGTCCCCAATCATCGCCAATCTATATATGGTAAAGTTTGAGGCCATAGCACTCTTCTGCACCCTATCCACCGTCCGTGTGTTTTCGGTATGTTGACGACACGTTTGTGGTTCTACATGTGTACAACATTGAATATTTTACAACTCACATAAATAGCATCAAGTTTACATTTGAACTAGAAGAGGAAGATCAGTTCCCATTCCTAGACACCTTGATACATGGCTCACTTAGACTCACCATTTATCGCAAACCCACACGTACAGAACGATATTTAAACTTCAGTTCTAACCACCACATTCAACATAAACAGTCAGTAGTACGATCATTAATGCACAGATCAAACATCATAACAGAACAGAGTGATAAAATTAGTGAACTAAAAAAACACATTAGAAGAGCACTAAGAGCTAATGGGTATGGAGACTGGGCATTACACATCCCCAAATCAAAAACAAAAAATAAAGAAAAACAGCAACATCATATTAGTTAGATTAAAGTCGCAATTCCGTATGTCCATCAATCATCAAACAGGATCGCCCACATTTTCCGAAAACATGGCATAAGTTCCTACTACAAACCTTTCAACACACTAAGATTTATGCTGGTTTACACAAGGACAAAAATCACAGACACAAAACATGTGGCACCATATCAGATTCACTGTTCATGTGGAGAAATATATGTAGGTGAAACTGCCAGATCAAATTAAAATATATATCTGTTTCATACTGCAAAAAACCAGCATACGCTGCAGGTAAGTCAATGTCCGGAATTATCAATGTGGCGCCAGGCTTAAGGTGTGCCCTCTAGTGACGACGCAAGCAAGCTGTTCAAAAGTGTCGACGTAGGCATGTGAATACAAACTTGGTTAGCAACTCTCGGGCTACAAATTGCGACTTCAAGATGTTCAATATTAAACACCAAAGAAACAGCAAAAAGACAGCACAGCACCAAAAGTCCAATCAAGTGTAGTAAAAACGATAAATATACATCAAAAATACTGAACATCCAAAATCAAATAATAAAAGGGTAAAATCAACTGCAATAATAAGCAGTCCGTTCAAATACTAAATATCATGCCTATATTGAATCAGTTATAGGCTACTTTAAGATACATGGTGATTTTGCATGATTTTATAGATCATTATGGCAGATCGGACATTGTGAAATCATCACATTGCTATCCGAATTCTAAAATCTGAATTTTTTATCAATGACGTCATTATTTATATACTCATTTGAGCGTATCTCGCTTATCCTTAATAGATCGTCTTCCAAATTTCAGTATGTCATGCATGGATCACTTAAATCGTCGTAGTGACGAGTTCAAATCTAGGTTATGTGCGATTATGAGTTCTGTCAAATTTCAATAACCAACAAAGTATGCATTATATTCTATATCAAGTTGTAGACAATTTTTTCCATACCTTTACTGGCTGTATCAAAAAACTCTTCTCGCCGACGCCCTTCAGTTTCCTGGTTTGTCAGAGAGGTCAATCCAGATGCAACACTGCAACTGTCATCATCAGCAAATAATGGGTTGCCAACCAGTAGTGTTGGGTTGCTCAGGGGTCTCTGCAAAACCATGCAATAAATACTGATGAAGAAGGCAATGATGACAATAACAATAGTAATTAATAATAAAAGCACTCACTACAGAACATATCTTTTTTATAAAACAAATCTCCCAAAATATGTTCCTAATTTTAACAAGGCCAAATGGTGGTAACACATAATGGGAAGTTAAGCTGTATTTGTATACCTCATTTATTGTACTCTACTTTATTTTCCATATTTTAAACGAATGTTACTTGTGTTGATTTAGACATTTCTCCATCAATCACAACACGCTGGGTCCTTTTTGTGAGCCAGTACTGGATCCAATTTAGTGTTTCGCCTGACATTCCGTATCTGCTAAGTTTATGAATTAATCTTTGATGTGGGATAGTATCAAATGCTTTACTGAAATCAAGTATTTGTACATTAATTTGGTTCTTGCTTCCTTGATCGAGGTAATGGTTATTCTCCTCGACTGTGTTTAATAATTGGGTTTCGCATAAATGATTCTTTAGGAAACCATGGTGATAAGCTTTGATAATGTTAAATTTTTCGATATGTGCCATAATATTATGGAATACTATATGCTCAAGTAACTTACAGGACACCGACGTCAGTGAGACTGGTCTGTAATTTGCAGGAATTGACTTACTTCCTTTTTTATAGATGGGACAAATTTTTGCAGACACCCAGTTGTCCGGGAGAATTCCTGTTTCTAAAGATTTACTAACAATTTTTGTTAGAATTGGAGCTAACTCTTCTACACAATCTTTCAAAACACGTATGGGAATCTGGTCAGGACCAGGAGCCTTGTAGGGGTTTAGGTTTTCTAGAGGTTTCAGTACTCCTGGAGTATCAATTTCAAAATCCTTCATCCTAGGGAATTGATTTTGTATTGTGGGTAATGATGAATTATCTTCCTTAGTAAAAACACTACCATAGCACTTTACTTGCATATACTTTGTGGCCGGACTGAGTTAGTAGTGGTGGTAGTCCAGTACTATCTTTCTTTTTATGGGCTATGAATTTCCCGAAATGCTTTGGTGCAGCTTTAAGGTTTCCTGGGTTCAAAATTCCTCTAATGTATGCATTTTGTGCTTTGTCAAGACATCGTCTGATGTGATTCCTAAGAGTGCGAAATTGCACCCAGTTCTTTTTGTTTTCCTATAGGCCCTTTTCAGTTGTTTAATCATTTTTCTTATTTTTTTATTTATCCATGGGATGCCCCTTCCATATTTTAGTGTTTTTTGTGGTATATGGCATTTAATGATACCTGTAATATTTTCACGTAATGTTACCCAATTTTCATTTATTGACTTGTCTTCCAATGATCCTTTTAACATACTGGTGGTCATATTTCTTGAATTCAGTTCTCACAGCTTCCATGTTTCCTTTTTTGAACATATATATTTGTCTTGTCTTTTTCTTTTCAGTTTTAACTGTGGTGATTATATCGCAAACAACTGCCTAATGGTCACTCATACTAGGTATTACTTCTACATTTTCTACACAGGATGAGTAGGTGGTCAGAATACATCAAGTATTTTGTTCAATCTTGTAGGTTCATGTACATGCTGTGTCAATGAGAAATTGTTCATTATTTCAATGAACCTCTGGTTGGTGGTCATGCCATATTGAGGATTTGGTTTAACTGTGTTCGTTTCCCAATTTATACTTGGTAGATTGATGTCACTACCTAATATAAGGAGTGGTAAAGTGTTACTTATTATCAGTTTCTTTAAGTTTTCTTCAAGGTATTGGCTGTCCAGATGATGGGTTTCTATAAAATGACCCAATAAAAATAGGTATTCTTTCTTAGTAAGTAATTTTCTTCATACTGCTTCGGCATTTCCATTTTCAACAAAAGAGACTAATAAGTGTTCTTTAAATGCAAGTAATGATCCACCTGCACCCTAGTGGTCATCAGTTCAATATGCATTATAGTCAAGTGGTAGTCCTGTTTGCATTGGATATGTGTCATCAAGGTGGGTCTCTGTACATAAAACAATATCAGGGTTTTCAGTTTCAATTAGTGTTTGTAGTTCAGCTTGCTTTGATATACTTCGTATACTTCCACAATTTGAAATAAGTATTTTTAACCTGATGGTGGATTTATCTTTCATATGAGATGATTTTCTATTAGTAGTAGGCTTAATATTTCTTGAGGGCAATGGATCTGCCTGGATTGATTCACTCTCACTATAATCAGTTAGGATTTCAAAGGAGTTTGTACAATCAGGCGATGCAGAATTTTCCAAAAAGAATGAATCTGAGAAATTTGGTAGTTCACAGGATAAGCAGAGCCAAACAACATTTGGCGATTTTTGTAATTTTCTATACTGTGCATTTGACACATTGCAGCATTTCGTGTGGTACCACCTTTCACAATTTTCGCAATTAAGTGCATGTTGACTATCAGATACGTGTTGTTCACATAGGTGACACTCGTCCTTGGATTGACAGTGCCCACAGTACCATCTTGTGCTAGATGGTAGGTTTTGTAAGTTTATATTGTTCAGGTGAGATCCCTACACATTTGATGTGAAACCAATACTGACATATATTACAGTAAACTGCTCTATGAGTTTTTGCTACTGGATTTTTACATGATCCACATGGGTATTTGACTGGGCCTGGATTTTCGTCACACAGTAGCCCTGTACGGTATCGACAATTTGTTGACATTGATATAAGAGGTGCATAACTTACTCGAAATCTTCTTGTTGGAGCAAGCCAGTTTGAGAGCTGCGTGGAGTCAACATTCACACAAGATAAACTGTTATGATTTCACCATGTAAAGATATATGATTATTATGATAATCACCATAACCATTATCCATAACAACCTTCAGTGTCAAATAGAAAAAGAATATAATATAAATCAGTTGTTAATAATCAATAGTGAGTCTTTACCATTCTTTTGGTGTCTGATGTCAATTCTTCAGAGGGTTTTCTTTGCTTACTTTTTCTTAAGGACTTCTTGGCCTTCTTTTTCAAGGTTTGGCTTTCTTCAGGCTAATAACAGACATAAACAAGAATTATTTCCTATAAAAAAAACACCACAACATCTTTACCTTATTCAATTTGTTTAATATTCCAAATTTATCTTACGTGTGAATTTTGTTACGTTATATTCAAGTTTTTTCTTTCCAATAAACAAACCTGTAACTGAAATTTTCTATAAACCAATACTGTGGGGTTTTAATTATTCAACGTATGACATCATTTCATTTTTTTTGCTTTGTGTAATGTATGTACAGAACTTACATCGGCATTGGTGTCAGAATACAGTGGAAGCTCTGTGTTTAGCAAGTCTTGAAGAATGTTTGACAGCTCTACTATAGTATCTTCTGCTTCTGACAAATCTGAGAAAAAGTCAAAATAGATGCCATATGCATGATAAATAAATTCCCTATGCACAATTTTTATCAAGATATATTGTATATATTTCACATAGGCCTGAGAGCCCATGCATTCTCTAAATAGCTTGGCCAGATGAATTGTTTATTAATACAAACAAGCTTATAAAAAGGTTGATAATACTAGTACTAGAAAAAAAATGGACTACAATATACTACCAATACTGTATGTACCTTAGACCAAAGGTTTCTAACCTGGGGTCTACAGAGGGGTCATATACAGGTCCGCAAAAAATAATTTGGGGCCTGCAGGGGGTCTGTGAAAAATGCTGGGGTCCGCCAAACTTTTAGACTAATTTTTTCACTAAAGCGCAGGATTGGTCATAGAATTAAATAGCATTTACAAGCATCATAGTAACTGGTCATTTGCTACAGCCTGTAATAGCTTATAACAGCAGTCATATAGCACCCATTTCACAAAATATAGCAATATCTTTGCAGTGGCACATCAACTATTTTGTATGTGCTTGATTGCTATTTAATCATAGTGATATTGTCTGCTATAGCTGGGTTAATCATTAAAAAGCATTACATAGTGATTAAAAACATGGTAGTAGCTGGTCACTAGCTATATAGCTTATAATAGCAGTCATATAGGAACCAATTGTGATTACAAGCATGTTAGAAGCTGTCACAATGCTTGAGTCACTGCTATAGCTTATAACAGCAGTCATATAGCACCCATTTCAAAAAATATAGCAATCTCTGAGCATCAAATAGCGATTACAAGCAAGTTAGTAGCTGTCACAATGCTTTAACTGTTATTTTGGCTATACAATGCTGCGCTTCTTGATATTTTTGCTATGCAGTATTTTGGGTCACTTTGGATTGCTATGTGAGGCTAGCAATAATAATATTAAAAATAATACGAATAAACAATTTGAAATAATAATAATAAATAAATAATTTTAACATTACTGTTGGATTACTGTATTTGTATTTCTATTATATATTGAGATTATGTATGAATTGCAAATATTTATATACATTTTATATTTATGTCATTTATCATGTTAATATAAAGCAAATTCTGTAATTTAATGATGTGTCTTATATGTTTTAAGTAAAAAGATCCTATCAACTACATTTGAATTGCACTAAAAAAGTTACAATCAGTAACATAACCTTAACCATTCGCAAGGCTTTAAGTAGGTTGAAAGAACATGGTTTATTCTTTGTATATATTTTTTAATGATATTGATGAAATATTTGCAGAGAAAACAGGATTTTAAAATGAGGTGTAAAAGCCAGCAAGCCGACTTCGCGCATAAAGAAATCTTTGAAAAATACCCTACCAAGTTTCAAAACACGATCGCACAAATTCCAATAAAGATAGCAGAGTAATTCCTTTTGTTATTAGGCTATGAAAGTGTAATTTGATATATAATTCACTTGGTGTTAATGTGTTCTTTGACCACAAAAATCAATTTTAGTGACAAAAATTGTATATTGAAACGTTGTCCATAATCAAAATCTACCGGATATTGCATTAAACGAAAGCTAAATCACATTTACATTTGATAAAACAAAGTTTATTAATTGAATTTCCATAGATGCGAACTATGTTTGTGTATACCAATATTAGGTGGGAACCACCGAAAGGGACAAGAAAGGCTAAACCACTGGTGAAGCATTCTCCTACAACATGCGTATAATCCACTGTCTTTACTATATAATTGTGATTAAATTGATATTCATACCCCCCCGGGGAAAAATGGATGGTTCTAAACGCCCAATGCTTCACACACATGCTCCATGTGATGCTTGAGCGAGAGAGCTGTCATGTTCGTATTGAAAGAAGGTACCCCAGCTCAATCAGAATTAACAACTAATATTTTAATAAAGCAGATTTTTCTTTTAATATGAAAACAAAATGCAGTAACAGTATAGTCTCTTGATTTGGAAGATCTGAGATCTACAGTAAAAATTTACGTAGTAGTAGTTGACTAAATTGCATTTGCATGCCTAGCAAATGTGAGTAAACATAACAAGCTGTTGCATAGAGCCGTGCACGACCAGCAAAATAGATTGGCAGGCAGACTCGACAATAGGCCTATACTGCTACCCTAGCTTGGTATTTTTAGTAAATTTATGATCTGTAATGTCAATCTACCCTCAAGATTACGTTCTTTATTTTGAAAAACTGATAAAATATTGATACTTCTTTAGCCTTTTATCTTCCTGATCCTAGGGGCCAGCGCGGCCTACACTACGCATTCAGTTTCTTTTAGTTACAATATCAGACATTTATTTCTACTTTCTCAAATTTACTGTATAGTCTGAGCACATGAACTTTTTTTTTAAATGACGTTTTCAATGGCTGTTTAAGTTCAATTTTTCCAATTGTGAGACGCACGCCAAAAATTGACACAAAATATCAAGGCACCATACTTAAGGGCCATTATATCAAAAACGACATTAAAGAATGACCGAGAAAAAAACACATAACACATAACGTTTTCTGTTATTATTTTCAAATTTATGGCCCTCCAAAAATGCTCCAAATTCAAAAAAGGACCCCTATTTCTCATTCAGACCTTATTTTTCACCATCTTTTAAAAGAGAACTCGCAAAACGATTTTTTGTTTTTGAGGGGATTTTTCATATTTCATTGGAAAATGAATCAATTTTATTATCTTTATTTTGGAATTTTTTATAAAGTTATAGGTAATTTACGAATTCGCCAGTGACGTCATTGGCGAATAAAGTAACCCCAGATCGTATTGCCGCTGGCGGCGCTATACATTACTTGCTGTGTTTTGCTGTGTTTTGCTGTTACTACTACTCTTCTTGTTTATCACTCAAGTCTCCTAGGCCTAATCAGTATTATGAAAGTGTAGGCTTAGGCCTACAACTAGTATTGTATGAAATTATTAAAAATTCCTCTATGAGATTGTATAATAAATAATGAAGATACTGCAAGTTTAGAAACTGATTATTTATATAATTTTTTTTGTAACTAGGACTAGGCCCTATTTTATTTTTATTTCTTTATCAAAAAAGAAGGTCGTGGCTCATTTTTGGGAATAAAGAAATTACGCTAGGCCTAAATTTAGTAATCACCGACTCCTTGACAACGCCCTGGATACATGAAACAGCAACGTCAACATCTCATCGGCGAAATATAAAAGTTAAAAATAATTTTTAAGTCCATCATAATTAATAATATCATCTCGACAAGGCCTAGCTTATGCCCTAAAAAAAAAAAAAAATCACAATGCCAAATTTGTGTATTGTGCCTGGATGTAAAAATCAAAATACTAGGCCTAGGCCTAATGTAAGTTATCACAGGCTACCTTTGGCAAACCAGAAACGGTTAAAATGGTTAAATGCAATGAAGTTAGAAAATCCATAAGCTGTCAAAAAAGGTTCCAGAATTTGCAGCGCTCATTTTGATCAGAGTTCATTCAGTCGAGATGTCAGATCAGAAATTTTAGGATTAAAACAACGACGAAATAAGCTAAATGAGGATGCTGTTCCAACAATATTTAACCATAAAACTGCGACTGAAGTGAATGCCAGGCCATCCTCATCTACCCCCACGACAAATCTAGGCCTAGGAAAGCCCGGGGCTAGCAGCAGCAGCAGACCTCAAAAAACAAATGTAGGTAGGCCTAGGCCCTAAGATCTAGGTTTTTTTTATATTTTTTGTTGATCTCAAGTTTATTGAGAACAAAATGAAATTTTACTTAGCCTACCTCATTATGTCCAGTGTTGTATTAAATCCCGTAATATATTTCAGCATGTAGGTTCATGCTCTTGTTGGCCTAGGACCTTAAGGCAGTATCCTAGTTCAAAAATACTCAATTTTTTACTAGGAGCCTAGTCGATCAATAAGACGATGAAAAACCTTCCTTTAGCCTAAATAGTTTTCTTAAGAAGAGGCGTGGATAATTGTTATTCCTGTTTTGTTTCGTCAGCATTAAATACTATAGGCCTAAAAAACAAGTTCGTCATCAAAAGCTCGCTTCCATAGGACGCTGACTGTTCTCCCCGAGTGCTAGCGTTTAAATGATATGCATGAAGTTGTTTGTCGCTTCTCCTGCGCATTTCCAATAAAATTATATTACAAATTGATACAGATCGATTCAGTGCTTAATTTATTATTTTTGTACTGATTAAAAAATACCGTACAATAATAGTACAGTATTACGTACTGACGTACAATATTATAATTAGATTATAATTTAAATTATTCTCAAAAAGTTTTCATAATATACTTTTTTTTCTTGATAAAAATTAATTTTCTAGAACTTGAAAATTAAATAATATAATGTCTGAATTTATGGACTTGCACACATGTTGGATTTCTTAAAATAATTGTAGTATGTGTATCTTAGGTCAGGTAGGACTGTTAGGCCAAAAAAAATGTTGGTTTGCCCTCCTCATTGAAAAAAATAGGGATGGAAAAACCACAACACTTTTTTTTTTTTTACAAATAAAAAAAAAATGTGAGTGAATTAATTTTTAGTTTTGCTATGCCCTACAAAAAAATTAGTCTAAAATTGTTGTTTGATGCAAGATATTGCAATTCTAGCTTCTGTGGGTTATTTTTATTCCATCTGATGACGATCTTAAAAAAAAATAATTAAAAAAAAACTTTTTCCACCCGCCTCTATCGTTTAAAAAAAAAAGGGCAAACAATTTTTTTTTGGCCTTATTTTAGTAAACTACTTTACCTCATACTCTATACTACAGAAAGTAATATTACTGATATGGTATTATTAAAATGCCTACCTGACCTAATAACTAGCAACCTAAGCATGCTTAAATATTTTCATTTCAGATTCACCAGTGTATTGATGGAATAATTCACTTTCATTCTAATAAAAAAACCAATACTTATGTGTCAATTGCAACACAGACCGAGCCAATAAGTTCATCCCTGGATGATAGCCTACCAAGTGGTTTTCCATCAAATCCCCACCAAAAACATCTACACCAGTAAGGGGTCACAATTCATCTTTTGGAAGTTTATTTAGTGGCATTTCGTCTAATTATGATAATGATATATCATTTCATCCAAGTGATACTGACACAGACAATGAAGAATCTGAAGATGAATTTATTGAAGAACATAATGTAAACTTTGTGAGCGAGATGAAGTATGACGTGTTTAATAGTCAGTTAAAACAACTGTTTAACAAGTGTCTTGGTGATAATCAGTGTGCTGCACCTGTGGTTGAACTTGCCACAAAGGAAGTTTGGTAATTGTAAATGGAACTTGCTTGCATAATCACCACTTTGAATGGAGGTCGCAGCCACTTTCTAACAAGATGGCTATTGGCAACCTGTTACTTGCAGCATCAATTTTATATTCAGGAAACACCTACACCACTGCTGCAGAAATTTTTGACACCTTCAAA